TTTTTTTTACTTCTGCACAATATTGTTTCAGAATTAGACCAATCATGCATGGAAGATGAATACAGTTTCGACACTGAAGAATTTTTACCAGTCACTACTGTGGGTACGGCTGTAAAAATAAACTAAACTTAACATAATTCGTAGGTACAGTCAGCTGCATAAATTTACTTACCAAACATTAGAAACTTTTATATAGTTAGGCCTTCTTTTGATAATACGTATGCAAGTATTCGCCAATAGCATATATTCATGGTCGAAAGCATATGAATCGATAATTATTTGTTTTACGTGTACAAATTACAAGTTGTTACAAGTTTGTGACAGTTTATAAATGTATACCTATTTTTGTAGCTGACTGTACATACGTATGATTGATGGATTGGAATCAACGATATTTTTTTGCAATAAATACTTCTGGTTGTCAACCGTTATGAATTTAGATTTCAGAGCCGGCTGTAATCCTTATTGGGGTCATCCTGAACAAGAAGTGAAAGCGTTACGATGCGATCCCGTTTTACGCAGATGTGAGCAGCGACATACATATTATCTTGTTTCAAATGTTTTAAAATATAGCAATTAACTATATAGTTAGTTACAATCTATAGTTACTAATATTATAAATGCTAAAATTTAGATGGATGAATAGATGGTTAGATGTTTGCTAGAGTTTCTAGCCAAAACTGCTGAATGGATCTAGATGAAATTTGTCATTTACGTAGAGGACAGTCTGGAAGAACATATATGAAAAAATGAAAAAATGTTTATTTAAATCCAACAATAATGTATACACGGAGTAGTAAAATACAGTTTATGGATACAGTAGATTTTTCTTTTTTTTTAATATATTGACCAGTACCCTCGCACTAGGCGCAGCCTGTAATATGTATATAGACTGTTTACTTTTGTTTTTTTTTATAACACGCGGACGGAGTCGCGGAAAAAAGCTAGTACTTTATATAATACAGTACTTTACTAGTTTAACCAAACTTTTCTCCTATTTATGGATTTTTATGCTTTATTAACTATCCTAAAATATCAATAACTACTTAATTTTTTTATGGCAAGGACTTTAATGTTTTATTTTAGGTGTACCAGTTACTATTCCAATGCTTCCAAGAGATACCTTAAACGTGTAAGTCTTTTGATTCTTTATTTCGTTTAATTTGATGACGATGTCGTTAATTCTTACAAGTATAAGATACTTATTTACCGCCTACATTTTGCTCGCTTCTTCGTCCGCGCGGAAAGAATTTTTTTTTAATAAATATGGCCTATGTTACTCAGCGATAACGTAGCTTTCTATTGGTGAAAGAATTTGAAATCGGTTAAGTAGTTTTTGAGTTATTTCAATACTTACAATAATACAAATCTTTCATCTTTGCAATAGTATAGATTACCGATAGTCCTTGTCAACTCTAGATGACATTAACACGTTAAATGCCAACTAGAGTTCAAACTACATGCAAAAAACAATTTGTAAAGTATGTGTTAAATGTTGTGGTCTCTTAAGATCGAGCCCAGAAATCCTAACATTAAAGGCAAGCATGCTAGTATACAAAAAAACTTATGTAGTTAATTAAGATATGGTTTTGCTTCAGACGTCGTAGTTTCCGTTACGAGCCACCGACTGGTGAGGAGTGTCCAGTATCTTGTCGTGGTTACGACTGCCAATCCCTAGTCCACGAGGACCAGTGCCCGCAGGGTGCCTTCTTGCCGGACAAGGATTACTGCAACTGCTGTGGACGATGCAGCAGTTTCTTCCGTAAGTAGACTATAATGTAAAGTGCCGATTTCAGGCATTTAAGTTACACTAAAGGTGTATTGTCACCGTGTTCCATATTCACTACCCCAACCGATCTTCTTCGACCCTTTTTCACGGTTTATCCTCCTCCGTTCTTTCTTCGTCTTTTGGAACACATTTGTTCGGAATTCGAATTTTGAGTGGAGCGTTGTCACACACGCATGCGGGGCTTGGATGTAAGTGAATTAACAATGTGCAACAAGGCCAATAGATACGCGCAGCGTACAAGCATCAGGAAAGTGCCGCAAGAATCTGCGCTACGGGGAACTTTTCTGAACTTTATCGTTTCCTTTAGACCCGTATTCGCTATCCGACCCAAATACAATTCTTTACTTGAAGAGCGGGCGTATCTTTGACTAAGCTTTCCCACAATTGTTGTAAGATTGTCGATTGTTTCGGAGCTATTCAACTGTTTAGTTGCAGAACTAAAAATCGTGTAGTGTCCGCACCTTTATATAAACTCATAGGAATCAAAACGAGACTAAACTTTTAACTGTAAGTAATTGATAAGTTAAGTAATTGTGTCTTTTACAGAATTGAATCAAAAATGTGCCGAATTCAAGAAGACATTACACAAAGTCAACGCAACCGAGGAAATTGAGGTTAGTTTAACAATGAAGTAATAAATAATTGTAAAACAATGATTAATTTAAATATCTTACTAGTTATAAATTTACCTTTAATATACAAAAACGAACATTAAAATCACTTATAAAACCAATAATAAAATAATATATATACTATTTTAACTCGAACTTGGTAGTACAAAAATTGAGGGAAGTACGTAAAATAGTACAAAACCAGAGTGTTGGCAATGCAATAATCCTTTTTATATTTTTATTTTTAATCCTTTTTTTAAAATAAGAATGTTTATTTTTTTATTTATTCTTTTGTAAATATTTGAAGCATTATTGTTCGAGCAGATGTCACACACAACGCTAGGCTGAAATGTATATTTTTGTTTAATTTGTAAATTTTATTAAAAGTTGTTTTTAGTTTATTTCTTATTTATTTTACTCGCGCGTACCTTCTCGTACGAGATCGTCTCTTTCACAGAGTTACAAGATTTTATAACTTAACCTCTTATTCCAGATAGAAGAAGAGTTCCTGGAGCCAGGCTGTGATGATGGACTGGTGTGTCGTCAAGGCATTTGTCAGGATACGCACTCCCTCATGTCGCGGAGTCTCCAGCGTCTGAAGAGAGAGCAGCTGCCGTTCGGTGCTTTAGGTTATTGCTACGAACACAATAACATGAGACCATAATCCTAACTCACTAATCCTCCAAGGATTTGTCTATTTAAGACTTATCTCTCGTAATTCAATTCTCATGTTATTGTGCAATATATATGTAACTAGTTGTTGCTCGTGACTTCGCCTGCGTGAAATTATAAAATAATAAAAAATATATCATATGTTACGCTCTGATAACGTAGCTTTCTAATGGTGAAAGAATTTTTTAAATCGGTCCAGTAGTTTTTGAGTTATTTCAATACATACTGAAGTACAAATCTTTCCTCTTTGTAATGTAAGTATAGATTTAGGTGAAATGGTATATAATTAATAATTTTTGCCTTAATTATTGTAGAGCCGTGTAAACAAGAGATGAAATACTTTAAAAAGAAGTATGGTGTGAATGGTCATCTACACCACGAGGCCCCGCAGTGCACACCTCTTTGGTTGTATGCACCAGTACAGGTAATTTCCCTTTGTCTTGTAACATTTATGCTTATAAAACAGTAATCCGAAACAAAAACGGCTTCTTCTAACTAACCACGCACACAGACACACAAAAATTTATTGGTTTCAAATACCTTTGACAGTGTCGTCGATTTGTCTGCTACTGCGCTTTAGAAGATGGAAGCAGAATTGATGGGATAAAAGTTCCAAGAGTAGAAGTATCTAATATGAACTGCGGTAAGACTTTCTTATTCTTTGACTTGGAGTCTAATGAACTCTGAGAGACAGCCAGCGTTTTGACTACTGTCTTTAGTCTATGGTCCCAATCCTTGCGACGGATAGGTAACATACCTATTATAAGAAAGGTGCAAGTCTATGGTCTTTGACAATTCTTTGCCATAAAAAGATACTTCAGAATTAATGAGTTTACGTTCTTCATTAAAAAAAAAAGAATAGATCTGTTATGATAATAGGGACCTTATAGGAATGACTATTAACTTTAGATTTCCTTAGAAGTAAATCTAAAAGAATTTAATAGCTTGTTGTGAGATAAAACACGCACATTAACGTGACCTATCATCATATCTCAATAAGTTCGAGCCATAAACTATTAATTTTAGCCTGAACGTGCTATAAATATAATAATTGTATGTTTATTGTTTGTCATTGACTAATAAATGTTGACCTTTACTGGAAGAACTGCTTTTTTATGATAATGTGACAAATTAGGTCACCTGAATTCGCCGAAATAGCGAAGCAAGAAGCATTACCTACAGATATTCGCAAAAACAATCGCGTTACCTTTAATCGATAGAGGAGTGGACGTCTTTAAAGAGGATATTTCCTTCCCCTCCACATTCTCTTCCCATCCTTTTCTTATTTGCGTGGTGAGGGATATGGTACTAAAATAAGGGCTATAGTACGCTATACTCGATACTATAGTCGATTTCGACTTTCCATTAGTCTCAATCAGCTATATCGTTTAATTAAATTATTAAAGCGGTAACTACTAGAGTTTTGGCGGGAAAGTTTAATGTTGCCATATTGTAGTTACTTTTTTTATAACATTTATTAGATTGCGCCCGTGAAAAGTGTCGTACGGAGTCTGACGTGCAATGCGATGGCTACGGCAACTACAAGGAGGCCGTTTTTATGCCTCACGTGGAGCAGTGGCCTGATCCGGAGGAGGTCTACGAATCTGGTATTATATTTAGAAAATGCTTATAAATGTATATCTTTTTTAATTGTAGACCAAGGATTCTTGAATCTTTTTGCACAAACTTGTACGTAGTTTTGAGCCAAGATATTTTAAAAGTATAATAGTTACTGTTCCTGAACTTCTTGCTGTTATATTTGTAACTTCTAGAAATTCCCTTCACTTTTACGGGCGAACTAGATGGACATTTTGCAGATATCTTTGACTAAAAATCTATGGATCGATCTAAAGGATCGATTATTGGCTTTACAATTTCAACAAATGTTCAATATGTTTGTTTTTCAACAGATATTAGCGAAATGAAAGCGTCCACAAAAAATGAACTCAAATAGGACCTGCCATTAGTGAATACCGTCTGAACAATATTTTTTACAGTAACTAGGCAATAGATATATGTATTTTTTTATTATTACCCTGGTAAATTAAAAAATGTGTAATATGTAGTTTAAAATAAAATTAAAGCCGTCAATGATTGTTTATTTATCAGTAATTAAGAAATTTGCCACTAAAATTATTTGTACATAAATTAATTTAACTATAAAAGTAATTGTAAAAAACATGTAATAAGTTTTCACAAGTAATTGCAATTTTCATTTGTGTCACACCTTGTGGCTGAAATTTGTATTTTTGCCCGCCCACGTGACGTCACGAGTCACGTTACAGACAAATGTTGCCATCACAATGACATCTCCCAATACCATGTTAAAATATTTTTTTATTCCATAACTTAGTTGTTGTATTAGTAATCATCAGTATATATAGGAAACACATGATGAACAATCATGTAGAACATTTCCATATTATTCTAAAATAAATTAATACCAAATGGTGCTGTTGAATATTTTTAAAGATGTTTTTAAATTTAAATGGTGTATTGAGATTGTCTGATAATGAAGATAATAAAATGTAATATCTGTTCTTTAAACCAAATTCTAATGGGCTAATTTTACATTATAGCTGGCAACTCTCATGGCTGCGACGGTAATATTTTTTGTCTGTGAGCCAGTCGATAACTAGCACGGTGAGAGTGTGCGCGATTTTTTTGTATCAAATTAAGACTGCAGTGTTGAGTGAAAAATGCCTAATATTATAAACGAGGTTAAATTAGACTTCAAAGATGTTCTTCTGCGACCGAAAAGGAGTACATTACGTAGCAGAAATGATGTAAGCTATATTTATTGATGTAACTCAAATTGCAATATCAAGGTTCAATGCAAAGGAAACTTTCAGCTGTTTTACAGTCATTTGTTTTTATTTAATGTAACTTTTTTACTGTTGATAAATACAAATTGATTGTTTTAACACTGGCAGGAAATTTTTACAGACTAAAAACTATCATTTACGCATTCATTTGTTTTTCTACTTTTATTTTTAATTCCAGTTAGATCGAGTTACGTAAAATTGTTTAGTTAGTAATATTTACATTTGACTCTGTCTATTTTTTGAAGGTCATATGTCTTGAATTCATTAGAATTTTATTATTAGATTATTTCTGATGTAAATTTCGTTTTGGCATCAAGAACTGTTAAATATGCCTCGGGTGCGGAATCTTTGAGGTCTTGGTATAGTTTTATTTATAGGTTCCTTGGGTTAATGTACGTATTGAAGAATCGTGATTTAATATAATGAAATGTATAGCAGGGGAAACTCGCGTTGTTGTTATAAGCTACAATATTTTGAATATTTTAAAATGAGACGCTGAACAAAAACTATTACAATGCAGATTATAAATGCTTCTGTAAATTTAAAGGTTTGTTAAACGTCTAGTTTTTTTATTATCTAGTCACTGCTATGTAATAAGTTGATTGTAGGAAGAGGCGGAGTTTGTCTCGTTGCAATGAAAAAGGCAGTTTTTTCTAAAGTATGGCTCCGCAAGTATAGCAGTAATCCACTGCTATTGTACAGCCTTTTATTGACCAAATATACGCCGCATTTGAACGTTTAATGCATAAGGCTATCCATAACCATGGGTCGCCACTGGTCTGCAAATCTCAGGTTCAATTCTGTTTAACACCCCTGCGTTGACACAAACTTATAGTTAATCACCACAAAATTAAAAAGCAGTTTCAATAGTGCCGTGAAAACGCACGGTTAATGTTCCCAGGTAACAACCTTGATCAAAACATCAATAACCAAGTAGGCACTGTAAAACCGTCCTTAATTAAACAAATAAAATTTCCTAATCTAACGTCGAACCTTTGTTAGATAAACTGAAACAGTCTCCACCCAAACTCTGTTTGTTTTTCCTTTGTTGGTGTTTTATTAACGTGTTTGGACAGCAACAGACGTGCCAGTCACAGGTACACTGGCATGCCAGCTACAGATATGTGTAAACGCTAACTGCAAGTACCAAACATGCGAGTAGCTATTTGTTTTTTTGCGAACTGCGTGCAAGTAAGTTAAGGAAATGAATGTGCTTGACACTGATGTCTCATCTCATATAATCTCGTTGGCATTTTACTTGCTTGTGCACGCATAATTCGAGTATTGGCACGTCCAGCACCAGTCCCAGGTACTACCCCACTTTACTGGAATGAGTATTTCTGCCCTTTCTCCGGTCGAAATGGATGTAGGGTACCGTTGCTAGGCAACGACAAACTTTATCGATTTAAAATTGTCTACTGCGTGCTTTGCGTTATTTGCGTATGCAACCTGTTTAGTAAGTAAGTAGGCGTTATTGGAATATTATGATGCAAAATGTACGGCCAGATACTGAAACGACATTCAAATAATGTATATAACAATGCCTGAATTAGAGAGACCAACGTTTAAACTCAAAATTACAAAAAAATTAAGACGTCTGATAGGATTATACGCGTTTTCTTTCTAATGTTGGCTTCAACCGTAACGATCGTACCGTAACATATTCTTGTATCCGTTTATGCAAAAGAAAGAAGAAAGAAAGAAGGAGTATTACTGTACCAGTTTAACAATTTCTGAGAATTATATTAGAATCTAGCTTTCGCCCGCGACTCCGTCCGCGTGGAATTAAAAAAAGAAGCTCACTTTTGGAGCAGCATATGTGTTCTTCTAGACTATTCTCTACCTCTATACCAAATTTTATCGAGATCTGTTCAGCCATTTAGAATACAAACTCTCACAAACATCCATCCATCCATCTAAACTTTATAATATTAGTAAGATTAGTAAGATTGTTTAACGGATGCAGTAAGGATGTTGTCAGTGAAAATAAATCATGCAGAACCGAACTCCGATTATAATTATTCAATTTCCAGTATGTGTTTTAACTCTCAGTAAGTTAAGAATATGTTTTTTATGTATCACGTAAATAACATTGTTAAAAGTACACGTGTCGATATGGCCATTAAGTAGCAATGTACAATGATGTCATGTAATTCATTTTACGTAGAACAGTCAGCTGCATTAATGTGTATAAACTAGCTTTCGCCTGCGACTCCGTCCGGGCGGAATTAAAAAAATCATGTAGCTTATGGGTACTTCTAGACATCAATGGTAAATTTCATCGAGGTCCATTTAGCAGTTTAGGTTACAAACTCAACATTCTGCCATCCAACCAAACTTTCGCATTTATAATATTAGTAAGACTAGTAATATAAGATATTAGTAAGATTTACCAAGCTACAGTAACTAGTAAGGTGCATGTCGGTTCGTATGTTTTCGGACATAAAAACGTGATTGTAAATACATGTTTTTGAAACTGCTAGAGTATTCAAGTTTCTGTAGCTTACTTACTGTATACATGCTTATGCAGCTTACTGTACCGCTTACAAACGTGACAATCTACTTATGTTTCAGTTAAATATTCAAGTAAAATTAAGAATCTATTAGGATTTATGTTCTTTGGATGATAATAGTTGTGTTAAAAACTAACTAGAACTATCTGAGAGATTTAAAAATTTTTTAAAATCCTTCCGTAAGTCTTAACATTATCTTTCTTAAACCCTTAGTTAAATATTAAGCAAGAGACAAACCCATTTAAATATTGCTCAATACATTTTATAAAAAAAAAAAAAACTAGAAAAAACCAAGCAATATTGAGATGAAGGCTAACGTTTTTCTTAAACGTAACCTTGTAGCGTCGGAACGAGAATTTCACCTCTCTGCTGACATTGTTACGGCGAGATATGTTGGCGTGGTGCCAGCGGATATACGCTGGCAACGCCTGCCTACGACTGCCACAGTATAGAAAAACCAGATGAATCATATTTTTTTATTGAATTGGTAAAACTAGGCCAGTGTGAAACCTCTAACTTGACGATTATGCGATTATTAAAATTAATACATAATGAATCAAGCAGAGTCAGAGGTCTCGCAAACTATAGACTGGCCGATAGTTCGATCGCGTTGACCTGTCAAAAAATATATAAGAAAATCGGTGTAATTTGTCCGACTAAACTATCAGCCATATAAAAGTTGCAGATAATTATTTAAAATATTAAATTGAATCTGCTGAGTATTAACAGCCTGTGACAATTTTCTAGCTAATATTGCTAAACATATGTTTGAAAAAGTGTAAACTATCATTATTCTTTTTCTAAAAAAAGCACGCTTACATAATTTCACTTTAACCACAAAAAGACGTAACAAATTACGATTTTCTAATACAATTGTTTTTTTTTCTATGAATCCTAAACATTTTTATTATTAGAGAAATCGCTGTTAATTACTAAACTTGTGTAATGACAATTTTATCAACGTAACTGCAATTATATATCATATAAATATTATAAATGCGAAAGTTACGATGGATGGATGGATGTTTGTTAGAGTTTGTATCCTAAACGGCTCAACGGATTTCGATGAAATTTGGTATAGATGTAGAAGATAGTCTGGACGAACACATAGGCTATTTAATTTTTTTTTAAATTTCACACTACGGAGTCACGGGTGAAAGCTAGTGATTTATATTTGTTTATTTACTGTACAACAACGCACGCGAATTGTTTCGCCATGACTTTGAAACTAATTTTGTCAACCGTTTATTACCTTCCGTATCTTGAACGTAATCCAAAACGATTACAGACATGATTATTGTCATAACCTTTTTAGTTAAACTTTTGCGTGTTTTAAACCTATTGGGAGCAAAGGTTGTAACAATATTCTGCAATATTTGTCACGTCAAATTTATCTTTCTTGCAATAATTAGTTAACAAGTAACGACGGAAGTTAATAATAAACATTGATGACCTATGATGTAAAGTGGGTATTCCCCGTTTTATATTCAAACGTATACGTGATTTTAAAGGGATGTCCCTATATTTTTGTTGTCAAAACAAAAACAGACGAATTGATAACGTTCTTTTCGGAAGGCGGTTAACAAATGACAGTAAGACAGAATATGCAAGCTAATTTTTAGCAATTTGTAGACAATTTCAGCTGAAAATAGCTCATTAGCATGCGAATTGTAACTTTGTTAGTTTATGGTTTGCGTGACTTGATTGCGTGATGAAATACGCTTTGTTAGCTTGATGGAGGGTGAATTTAGGGTCTGTTTTATTACCAAACTTTACGTAGCTACATAGAATTAGTACAGTCGGCTGCATAAATATGTATACATATATAAAACATTAGAAACTTGTATTATTACCCAATACCGCAACTCCGTTCCCGTGGAATTAAAAGAAAACAGAACTATGCCTATATGTTCTTCCAGACTATCCTCTGCGTCTATGTAAATTTCATCGAGATCCGTTTAGCCGTTTAGGATATAAACTCTAACAAACATCCATCCATCCTTGCAAACTTTCACAACATGCTTCATACTTTCATACTAATATTATAAACGGGAATATTTAGATGGATGTTTGTTAGAGTTTGTAGCCTAAACGTCTGAACTGATTTCTATGAAATTTGGTATAGATGTAGAGGATATTCTGAAAGAACACATAGGTTACTTACTTTTGTTTTTTTAATTCCACGCGGATGGAGTCGCGGGCTAATATATCTCTACTTGCGTAAGATCTGTTAACAGTCGATAATTGCTGTCCTCAGGTGGACCTCTACAGGGAGATAACATTCCGTAACTCCGGACAGACGTACCGTGGCGTGCCAGTGATGGCCAGCAACATGGATACTGTCGGCACATTCGAGATGGCTAAAGAATTGTCTAAGGTAAATAACAAAGAAAATTAAGTCAAATCGCATTGAACTCACGTAGTTGATTATACCTTACTCCTTTGGGTAGACTTCCAAGTCTCTCGGTAAGGACTTATTTGTGTTGATAACGTAATAACTCAAAATATTTTGGATGTCTACGCCACGTTGTAATAATTATATGTATTTTTATCTTTATTTATTTATTTATAATTAGGTAAAATAGTTTTCTCTATGTTTATAGTTTAAGTATATACAGTATCAATTCTCTAAATTAAAAAAAAAACCTGTACTTACTGCTTTTGAAATTTATTTGAAGTCAGATTCCTTATAATTCCCAATTGTTTGCATTACTGCGTTTAGTATTCCACTTTTGAGGTTCCTACTCTTGAAAAAACTCGACGGAATTGACGCTAACAACTTGTTCCAATACTTCGTTACAGCACGGATTATTCACATGCATCCATAAGTATTACACTATCGAAGAATGGAAGAAATTTGCCACAGATCATCCTGAATGTTTAGAACAGATGGGTAAGTGTCATGATTGTGTACAGTGAAAGCTGACGGTTACATTTATGTGAATCCGTAAATGCACCGAAGGATTTTCTTATTTTTAATTAGCTTTCGCCTGTGAATCCGTCCGTGCGGAATTAATAGTAGCCTGTGTGTTCTTTCTGACTATGTTTTACATCTATGCCAAATTTCTTCTAGATCCCTTTAGCAGTTTAGGCTACTAACTCTAACAAACATCCATCTTAACTTTCACATTTACACTATAGAAAGATTTCTTTCTATCACACCAAGGGCCTGTCCCACCACTGGCTGATAAACGCTCAGATAGTTTAAAAATGACGTCACTGTCACATGATAATATCACATATTTTAGACATTGGATTGTTACAATTTGGTGGGAAAGCCCCTAAGCGTGATAATGTAGCTTTAGTATAAGAATCTACACTTAGCGTATCTATTAATGACTCTGAGTCTATCTTGTTCTCTAGCTGCCAGTTCGGGTACAGCGGAGGCGGACTTCGACCGCTTGTCGGAGATATTAAACAACGTCAAAGATCTAAAGTTCATCTGTCTGGATGTGGCTAATGGTTACTCGCAACACTTCGTGGAGTATGTCAGACGAGTTCGAGCCGCATACCCTACGCATACTATTATTGTAAGTATAGCTTTGATGTTTCAGTGCCGTAACCTAGGGTGTAGTTGGGCGAAAGCCCAGGGCCCTTGATCGAAAAGGGCGAAAAAGTCACACGCATGTTAATCTCTATAAAGTTTTCCTTGATTATCTGTAAATATATGCGATAAGAATTTATTGGACATGTTTAAATTTTTTATTGGTTTTCGTGAACACTCTTGCTTAGCCAAGATTTTGAAGACCATAAGTTTATTTCTCTCCATCTTCCAGTTGTGTTATGTAGACGATTGTTATAACATAGTCGCACTATTCCAGGCTGGCAATGTAGTGACAGGTGAAATGGTTGAAGAGCTTATCTTATCAGGCGCTGACATTATCAAGGTATTATGTTTTATGTTTACAAACACTATTACATTACCAAATAAACTTGTGGCATAATAATTGAGTAATTTCACTTTAATTTTTTTTTAATAGCTATGATCAGTCGCTACAAACATTTCTAGTTTATATGAATTATGAATCGACATGTTTAGAGTCAAATATTTAAGTTATATTTAAATACCAACTGTTGCTCGTGACTTCGTCCACGTGAAATGATAATTATGAATATAATATTTTACTCAGCAATATCGTAGTATTCTATTGAAAGAATTTGTGAAATTGGCCCAGTAGTTTTTCAGTTTTTTCAATACATAGAAAAGTACAAAAATACAAATCTCTTTATAATCTAACTAATAGAAGTACTATGCTAATATTACTCGTATAAAGAAGAAAGATTTTTATTTTTGTATGTATTGAAATACAGTACAATCTTGATAACTCAACCCTCGGTAACATGAAAACCTTCTAAATAATATGTTTCCTTCCCATCAGAGCCCAAAACCTCTATAACAAAGACCCTTGATAACTTAAAACCTCTTTAACTTAAAACATTTTGTGTTTCCCTTGGACTTAAACTTATCGAGGTTCTACTGTAATTAAAAAATTACTAGGCCGAATTTAAAAATTCTTGCACCGTTAGAGAGGTAATTTATGTAACATGGGCTATATTTTTTAATTATTAATTTATCGCGGACGAAGTCGCAAGCAATATTAAGTATAGATATTGGTTGTACCTTCCAGGTAGGTATAGGTCCGGGGTCGGTGTGCACGACGCGCATCAAGACGGGCGTGGGCTACCCGCAGCTCTCCGCGGTCATAGAGTGTGCGGACGCCGCGCACGGACTTAAGGGACATATTATTTCTGTAAGTTGAACATCAGTATGTTCTACACAATACTATTTAGGTACCTAATAACCTATACCTTCAAGTACCTAAGTGTAGTATAGGCTACTTCATCGGCACAGGGGAGACAGGGGACGGGACAACTGCCGATCTCCCCATATAGAATCGAGTAATGTAAGACAGATACAATAATACGAAAAAGGACCATATTATTGTCAAGCCCAGCTCGTATGGTGTAAAGAATCGACGATTTCAGACAACACACACCGTGTTTCAGACTTTTTTTAGTATAAGGTGGCAAACGAACAAGCGGTCACCTGAATCCGCCAAAATGGCGAAGCGATCGATGCCCGTAGACATTCGCAATAACTACCCTTAACCGATGAAGGAAACGCACACAAAGAGTATATTTCCCCTTCCTATGCGTCTCCTCCAGCGTCAAATACACGTTCCATCTCTATCTTCTTATAAGAAAAAGAGTGGGAAGAAAAAGGGACTAAAGCTGAGCCTCCGTCTCGTTTATTTAAAAAAAATAATTTACACGATCCGTTTATTGCTATAAATAATAAAATAATCATTTATTTTACTCTAGATGGCGTTGATATCGTTATAGATCGCGGTACTATTGTGTTCGAAATTTAAAATATCGATATTTCATTTTTTTTCAACAATTTTGTCCATTGTATTGCATCCAGGATGGTGGATGTACGTGTCCCGGCGATGTTGCTAAAGCCTTCGGCGCGGGCGCGGACTTTGTGATGGCGGGCGGAATGTTCGCGGGACACGACCAGTGCGGGGGCGACGTGGTCACCAAGCCTGACGGCAGGCAGGTGAAGCTGTTCTACGGCATGTCATCATCCACCGCTATGTTGAAACACTCCGGTGGTGTGGCGGAATATAGATCCTCGGAAGGTAAGTGTTTTTAATGTTTCAAAGGGCCTGTCCCAGAACTGGCTGATAGAGGCTCAGATAGCTTAAAAATGACGTCACTGTCAGATAACGGAACAAAATTTGATATTTCCATCACATATTTTACACGTTGGATTGTTATCAGACAATTTCAAAACAGGCCCTATATGTTATATTGTTTACTAGCTTTCGCCTGCGACTCCGTCCGCGTGGAATTAAAAAGTCTATGTGTTCTTCCAGTTTGTACATTTATACCTAATTTCATCGAGTTCCGTTCGGCAATTTAAGCTACAAACTCTAACAAACATCCATGCATCTAAACTTCTTATTTATATTAGTAAGACTAGCTGTTACTGACGACTTTGCGTTAAATAATAGAAAACCTATTTATAAATATTAGTGCAAATATGGTCGGTAATAAGTTTGACTGTACCTTTGTTGACAAAATTAAAACTTTTTTTAAAGCATTTTGAGACATGTTTTATTATATTTTGGGTGTAAAAAAATACTTCAACCTCCAGGTAAGACAGTAGAAGTGGAATACAGGGGTGACGTAGCTGTGACTGTGAAAGATATACTAGGAGGTCTGAGGTCTGCCTGTACGTATGTGGGCGCGGCGCGACTCCGCGAGCTACCGCGACGCGCGACTTTCATACGCTGTTGCAGGCAAGTGAACGATACATTCTCTTAACTTATGTGATCCTGGTACTTTCGATAGTTTAATTTATTTAAAAATTAACTGTTATTGAAATTAAATTAAAATAAATAAATTTAAAATTCAATAATTAAATTAAATTAATATTACAGTTTAAAAAAAATTAAATATTTTTAATTTATTTTTTAAATAAAGATTTTGTTTTCGAAATTGATCGTCAATTGTTTTAGTTTATTATTTTTATTGTATGATCTGTATTGAATCTTAAAATAACATAAAAATGATCTTTTTTTCAATAAAATGCGTTGTTAAAGTTAGCAGTGATTGTGCAGTTAAATTTTTTTTTTAATAAACATTTGGGCAACTATTTTTATTAGCTGTTATATGTAGTAAAATAACCGGTCAAATCTACAATTCGCTGGTGCTATATACATTGTTATTTCATATATAATGTAATCTATAAAATAAGTAGCAAAAGTCTATGTAGAAGTCCATTATATACCGAGAAAAACTGTTTTAAAATCGAAAAAGAATTATGAACACAATCTGTTTAAAAAAAAAAAATATACCGACGAATTGAATACCTCCTTCTTTTGGGAAGTCGGTCAAAAATAGGATTTTAAAATACAACGAAGATATCCTGAAATGTTATAGAATTATAAAAAAATGTATTATAGTTTTTTTATTCAAGAATTTATTTTTGTATTTTATTTTTAAAACATTTTTTCTTTATAAGACATCAGCTGTAGCACAAATTAGCAATTTAATTATATTTTTAAGTTTATTTTAATGTAATTTATTGCATTATTTTTAATATAATTAGTAATTTAAGTAAAATGTTTTAGAGTGTTAATGGAAATAAAATGTGATCTATTGTGATGTAGTGTTTGTTATTTGTTACCATAAAAAAAAGAAAAAGTACAGTCGCCTTCATTTGCGGTGTTCCACTTTAAGTTAATTTCCCGTTGGGCATCGACTTACTGTACAATCGGCATAACGCATTTAACAGTGGTAGTGTCCGCTTTAACATCTTAGCACTGCTAGGACGGCCCGCCCC